GTGCAATGAAAAGAAATTGACGTCACGTCTAGTCAAACTTTATTCGGCGGCATTGGGAGTCCAGGTTCGGCTATTTGAGATTTAACTTCAACACAAATTGGATCCTTTCGTTTTTACGTTTGCCGAGTTTTTTACCTTCGTCTATTCATTTCTATTTAGGTTTCTAGCATTAATGTGGCTGGGTTAAATTGTATTTTTTTTATACCTATTCGGCTGACTTCAAATATGTTTTTTTTTTTGGCAAAATAAGTAGTAAAAGTTTGAGAACATTTACTGTATTTATTTGTGTTATTTTAGAGTTTTTTATATATGTAAACTCGACCCGGCAAGCGAGGTCTTGCCATATAAATTAATATGGCTATAAAAAATAGGTGTTGGTGATGAAAGGGTAAACATTTTGGGTTCTATGTATTTTTAATGCCACATCATAAAAAAAAATAGTCGAAAAATATAAAAAAAAATTTTTTGGTGTGAGCCGTAACACTTAATGGTATACAAATTAGTTATAACCCTATTCTCAGACCTACTATGTGTATATTCACATATAAAATTTCATCAAAATCGTTGGTTTCGGAGGAGTATAAACACGAAACCTGAGACATGAGAATTTTATATATTACTAGCTACTCGCCCCGACTTCTCACGGGTGTAAATGTATTATTATATATATAAAACTTCCTCTTGAATCTCTCTATCTATTAAAAAAATTCGCTTCAAAATCCGTTGCGTAGTTGTAAAGATTTAAGCATACATAGGGACGGACAGACAGCGACAACTACTTTGTTTTGTACTATGTAATGATGATTAATTAGAATTAATATTAACAAAAGAAGAATATCTCTAAAATCTCTTTCAGTCAACCCAATAGAGCGTGACATAGGAACTCTTGAGTGGGTCTCTAATTGACCTCTATTCTTTATTCTCTATTGACTCTCTCTCTGGTCTCTAATCTAATTGTGAAAATAATAATTTAATGTAAATGTCATAAATAATTAAAATTAAAACACACAAATCTTATATATAAAATTCTCGTGTCACAATGTTAGTTACCAATCTTGACCGATTTTTACTACTATTTATTTTTCATACCCCTAAGTGATAAGGGTAGTCCACCCCTAACATACTTTTTAAATTTTTGGGCAAAATTTTTTATTTATATGCATAATATTATATTTTTTAGTTCCAATAAAGAAAGATTATTATATATTTTTATTATGTGTCATTAAAAAATACATACAACCCTAAATTTTCACCCTTCTATCCTATTTGTTTAAAGCGTTATTAATTTACATGGCAAAACAACGTTTGCCGGTACAGCTAGTAGTTTATAATATTATTACGATATTGTTTATTTAATTTTATCTGTCAGTCTGCTCTCGGCCTTTATCTGTTTCCTCTCTAAGATTTATTTGAGAAAATCTTGGGTTCTTTGTGAGGCTATTTTGAAGGGACGTGTGGGCGGTGTTTCAAGTTGTTCGGTTCCTATCCAATTTGTTGGGAGGCGTGTAGATGAGTTATAATCGATATATCATACAGCGATTAAATTTAATTTACTCCACAAAGTATACCCTTATGGGTCTAAAGCAGCGGTCTTCAATCTCTACTAATATTATAAATGCAAAAGTAACTCTGTCTGTCAGTCTGTCCGTCTGTCAGTCTGTCAGTCTGTCAGTCTGTCAGTCTGTCAGTCTGTCAGTCTGTCAGTCTGTCAATCTGTTAGCCTGTCAGTTTGTCAGTCTGTCAGTCAGTCAGTCTGTCTGTCCGTCGGTCAATCTGTCAGTCTGTCAATCTGTCAGTCTGTCAGTCTGCCAGTCCAGATAAGACCGTTCACCGACATAACGATTGGAATGATTTTGATGGACATCACCTCCCACATTTCAGTCACCTCGTGAGCCAGGTCGAGATATTTTCTCTTTTTCTCAGTTTCGGCTTTCACGAGGTTATTATTATTATTCATCATCATCTGCTTCTTCCTTATCCCATTTATTTGGGGTGGGCGTAATATGTTTTTCTCTTCCATTCATCTCTGTTCGCAGTCATTCCGTTATTTACACCCTTTCTCACCATATCATCTTTCACACAGTCCATCCATCTCTTTTTCGGTCTTCCTCTACCCTTATAACCATCCACATTCATATGTAACACCGTCCTTAGGATATGATCTTCATTCCTACGCTTTACATGCCCATACCACGATAGACGATTACTCTTTAACCTCTCTATTATTATATGCTATTGAATTTTCGTCAAAAAGAAAAACCTAACCAGTGGCCGTAACCCGAACAGACATCTCATAAGCATCCTTACAAAAATTCTCGTATATAAAATTATTATGAATATTTTGACGAATTAAACCTCAACCGTGTTAGAATTTTTATATAAAATAACGCTGAATCTAGATGAAGAGTTGAATAGGGCTGTTGACACCAAGCCTCTGCTGACCTAATTGTCATCAGGTAGACTTTTTAAACCTCTATACTGACAGACAAAGCGCTAAAACCATCATCCGTCTCTCAAGCCACAAAACAATATTTCCACAAGCAACTATACACTTTATTCCCTTCGTTATAAAATTTAAATTCAACCACTACGTATTTGTTGCTGAATATTTCACTTGTTTCATTTTAAACACGCTACTAAATTGATAGCGGTACAGTTCAAGCCGAAACGGTGGAAGTTCCCAATTTTGTTGCTTGTAAAATCTATGTTGTTGCGAAGCAGTAAGGTTCAAATTTGAGGTAGTGATCGTTGAAATTAACCCTTCGTCTGTAGCATCTGTTGGCAGGGGAAGTGTCTAATTACTTAAAATAATGGTTCCTTATAATATTCCATGGAGATTTTATCTGGTATAGTCGACGGGTCTGTCATCTATTGAATTTTGAAGCTATTTTTATCAAGAGTCTTGTAAAGTATAGATAAGCTTCTATATATTCTGATTTACTTCTTATTATTACATAGTATTAGTTAGTAATAACATATTGTAATTTAAATAATGTAAATTAAATATTGTAATGGGTGAAAACTGTGATTGGTACAGTTTATGCTGTAAATAATATAAATGACGCAGTGGAGTAACTTGAAACAGTCATGCTCGCTATAAAGTTCAAACTTGTAGCGGCGTGGTGGGCCGGGTCGATGTGCTCCCTCTAATATGGTTGAGTGCAATGAAGGCTGGCTCATCCGTCATACTCGTGGACGGGTGCTGCTTGTGGGGACTGGTCTGTTCAGGTTGCGAACACTGATTAGATTTTTTGTTTTTTTTTTTATATAGCATATGCTGGTGGTCACTCTATTCTCCCAAATTTGAATTTAAATAAAATAGTATTACTGTAAATATGTACAACATTAAAAAAAAACGAGCTGAGTTTCTTGTCAGTTCTTCTCATCTCGAAATCATTCCGAACTGACGGTAGATTGACATATCATTAGAGTCTGTAATGGACCTACATGAATAAAGATATTTTGAATTTGAATTTGAATTTGAGTATAAAAAGTCGCTGTCACTGTCCGTCCCCATGTATGCTTAAATCTTTAAAACTACGCAACGGATTTTGAAGCGGTTTCTTTTAATAGATAGAGTGATTCAAGAGGTACGTTTGTATATATAATACACGTACATCCGTGCGAAGCCGGGGCGAGTAGCTAGCCATCAAACAAATGCAACATTTTACAGTACAATGTCATTGTAAGGCAGTGAAATGAAGCGAAAAAAACTCAACTGTGGCTTTTTTAAAAGCCTGAAAATTCAGTGAACCGTGCACGGCGAGTTTCACTCTATTTTACCCTGTAGAGTAGTTACCTAAATCAACCCCTTTCTATTTTTTTAATAGCTATGTCTATTAATGTCGGGACAGAATGTTTTTTTTATACGACAATTTGTATTTAATTTTGTAGATAGTTATTTATAACATCTGCCTCGGTGGTCTAGTGGTTTAGCACACTGATACTCTCGATGGTCGGTGGTTCGTTTCTCGCACGGTACAAATATTTGTATTCACGAGTGTCATTGTTGGTATTGGTATAGGTATTTTCTATGGATATTATGTATGCATTTACAAAATAATATATAACTGGTATTTAACTAGTCTGGTCATAAATACAGTTACATAAAAAAATCTTTTTTTTTTTGCAACTTTGTAAGTATTTCGAACTTGAAACACCTATATTATTTTAATAACTTCTTTTGATTTTGCGCCATTTCATATATTTTTTCGTGTATGTTTTAGAAAATTATCAAATAACTCGGAATTAGCGTAACGGTTGAGATGCGATGACCATTGTATGGGGACATGTGAGCGTAACGATAAAATAGTGACGTCCCCTGTACGGGGATATACGAGTGCAACGGTAAAACGAGTGACATTGCTGGTACAGGGTATACGAGCGTAATCATAAAATGAGTGATATTCCTCGTACGGGGACTTACGAGCTCAATGATAAAACGAGTGACGTCTCCCCTCCCGTACGGGAACATACGAGCGCAATGATACAACGAGTGATGTCCCTTGTATGGAGATATACGAGCGTAACGATAAAACGAATGACGTTCCCCGTACGGGGACATACGAGCGCAACGATAAAACCCGTGATGTCCCTTGTGTGGGGACATACGAGCGCAACGATAAAACGAGTGACGTCACTCATACAGGGACATATATTCATTCATAATTTAAGAGGCACGCTCATGTCGGTAGATCTCTTACCACTTTCCGCCATCTTCCATCATGTTCTTTAAATGTTGATACGACACGCGTCCCATTTTGTCTTTAATTTCCTTGATGTAGCTGTGCCTTGGTTTTCCACTTCCCTCTTTCCTTCTATTTTTCACTCAATAATAATTTTCATAAAATCATCGTGCTGTATCAAGTGTCCTAACATTTTTCTTGGTCTATTTTCTTTTGTATTCAATATCTGACTTTTTTCTTTTTTCTGTTTTTCGGTATATACGAGTGCAATTAAAACTGTATACAATGTTCTTATTATTATTATTGTTAAATTACCTCAAAAACTTCTCTTGTGGCAGAAAACGGAAGGACAGCGACGCCGACCAGCAGGTCTGCCACTGCCAGTGACACGATGAACAGGTTGGTGACACTACGCAGCTTGGATGAGCAGAGCACGGCAGCTATCACCAGGCAGTTACCTGCACATACATTGTTTAACATTATAGTTTAGCTTCTATTCTTTTTGCTTGATAAAAGCTACAGAAATATAAGTGTTAAGGTTCACAAAGAAGGTAGTTTGTGTTTAGTATTAATGAAGTTTTAAAAGTAAAGATTGTTACATATATTGTAAATAGCGCCATCTAGTATTTATGGACCGAACTAAGTTGTTTGTTATAGGATAACCATTACCCCCCCTTTTCTCCCTACTACACTGATTTCGGTCTATAAATACGGAGGTCGGTAGTTGAATAATTCTCTTTCGTTGAATAGACCGCAGCATTCAGTCGACGAGCACAGAACGTGCCGGTTGTATTTTGGATACTAAAGTGAATTGTATTAGAAATGGGTTTATCTCGGATTTAGTTGGGCCTGGGGGGACGCTGCAAGTAGTGAAGGTGAGTGTTAATGCATTCTAAAAGGGCCTTTTAAACCTACACCCGTGTCACAAGTCACGGGCGCTACTTGGGGTTTCTCTTCCGGTAGCCGGCTTCAAAGCCTAATTCGTCATCATAATTAGTGGTTCTCACATGAGATATATGATGATATTTTAGTCACATTGCGATTAATGATGGCCTTGTTGGTTTAGCGGTTTTGCATATCGCATTTGTATAGATAGTCGCGGGTTCGATTCCTCGCACGGTACAGACTTTTGTATTCATGAGTATGATTGTTTGTATCTGTCTGAGTGATTTATGTCGAAGAATTTATATCATTTGTCTAATACCCATTACACAAGCTCTACGTAACAGTGGGTCTAGATGGCGCTGTGTTAATAGTCCAGAATTTAGTGTGCGTTGCAGATTTTGCCAAATTGAAGAGGAAACGCAACATCCTATGTGGTTGTATCCCGCTCATTAATAAATATGTAACGAAATATATATCTCCTTTGGAAAGTACACACTCTAACCCATAAATTAGAGTTAAAACTCATCGCTCCTAATAATATCGACCGTTTACCATCAGATGAGCCGTGTGCTTGTTTAGCACCTATGTGGTTTAAAATTAAAAAAAGTAAATTCAAATTCAAATTCAAAATATCTTTTTTTTCATGTAGGTCTATTACAGACTCTTATAAACTTTTATAAACTTTAAATCTATAGCACTGACAATATTATCTTTTTACATTAATAATGAGTGCGTAGCGACTTCTATGTTGATTATCGCATGCCTCTTACTTGTTATACTGTAATTATTTATATAAAAAAAAACATCTATTAAAAAGAGCAACACACAAGTTTCTTGCTCATTCTTCTTATGATGAATCTGCATTCCGAATAAGTGGTAGAATCAAAATATGACTATTCAAAAGTGCTTGTAATGAGTTTATTTGAATAAAGATTATTTCTATTCTATTCTATTCTATTCTTATGATATGTCAAATCTACCGTCAGTTCGGAATAATTTCGAGATGAGAAGAACTGACAAGAAACTCAACTCGTATTCTTTTCAAATGAATGTTATACATATTTACAATAATACAGATTCATTTAAATTCAAATTTGGGAGAATAGAGTGACCACCAGCATATGCTATTGCAAAAACATCTAATCTAATCAGTGTTCATAACCTGAATCCTTGAGTAATAACCTACATCCCTCAATAACTACCTAAAATAACCTTGTTACAGGTAACTTCAACAAAAAAAAACAACATATGCATGATGACTAGGGCCCTCACAGGATGCAAATTAAACAAGCATATGCCAAAACTAGGCCTATGCACGACAAAAATCTGCAGATTCTGCCAAACTGAAGAGGAAACGCCACTACACATCCTATGTGGTTGTAGCCCACTCATGTATAAACGAAATATCTCCTTTGGAAAGTTTACACTCTACCCTGAGGAGATAAAAACCATCGCTACTAAGAATATCCTTCAATTCTTGTCCCTGACGGGTCTAGGTAGCGAACTTTGAAAAAGGGCGAGCAATAGGTCTATGTAGGTCGCAGTGCTACAGGTGCAACAAACACCTGATAATAGCCCAAACAACCCAATAAAAATATAAATATTATTAGTTATTCGGTACTCAGTTTACAGTTTACAAGATTTCTAAATTCATAGATTGGGAGGAACGCCCTCAAATAGTTTCTAACGTATCCATTATAACGTTAACAAGATATTAAGTCAATATTATAGAGTGTAAAGATTTGTTTGTTTGTTTGTATTGAATAGGTTCTTAAACGGTTTCTAAAAACGATCCGGTATCGACTTGAAACTTTTTTTTCTTTTGTCATCAGAATGCTACACTTATTTATTTAAAAGCTGTGCTTGTAGTTTCAGTATATTAAATCATCACTACATAGTATAAAACAAAGTCGCTGTCGCTGTCTGTCCGTCCCTATGCTTAAATCTTTAAAACTACGCAACGGATTTTGAATCGGTTTTTTTACTAGGTAGAGTGATTCAAGAGGAAGGTTTATATATATAATACATGTACACCCGTGCAAAGTGGGGGCGAGAAGCTAGTTACATATATAATATACCTCCAGACCGATACAAACAATCATACTCATGAATACCAATATTTGTACCGGGCCATTAAACGAACCTGCGACCATCGGAACTAAAGCGGTGCGGTAAACCACTATACCACCGAGTCCATCATAAATTATTCACAATAGAGCAAAATGATATATTATAGTTTTATAGAGGACATCAATATCAAATATATGTCTGTGATGTGTGTGTGTGTGTGTGTGTGTGAATTAATGTGTAAGGGCTGTTCTTTTTTTAAATTTTAGGAATTTGTGTTTGTGTGTCTGAATTCAAGTGTAAGGGGTGATCTTTTTTTTAATTTATTGTAATTTGTGTTTGTGTGTTTGAATTTAAGTGTAAGGGTGTTCTTTTTTTAATTTTTTTGCAATTTGTTTTGTGTGTCTGGATTCAAGGGTGTTCTTTTTTTAATTATTACACTTAATTTTTAATTTTTGTTAAATACCCATGCAAAGCCGGGGCGACCCGCTAGTAAAGCTATAAGCTACAAAGCCATGCCGTTAGTTAGTAATTATAACAATTATAACCCGTCAGTGAGCGTGGTAATTGCATATGATTGAACATGTGGCCGTGATGCGTCGTCTAGACGGCGCGTGCAAAGTCGCTCTGTAGAATAACACACGTTGCAAACGGAGGGTTAATTAACCCTTTACTTAGAATATTAATATTTTACAATATATATTCAAAATTCAAATTTAAAATATCTTTATTCATGTAGGTCTATTACAGACTCTTGTGATATGTCAAATCTACCGTCAGTTCGGAATGATTTCGAAATGAGAAGAACTGTAAAGAAACTCAGCTCGTATTCCTTACAAATAAATATTATACATGTTTACAATAATTCAGATTAATTTTTAAATTCAAAATTGGGAGAATAGACTGACCTCCTGCATATGTTATTGCTAAAGCAAATAGTCTAATTAGTGTTCGTAATCCAAACAGACCAGTCCTCACATATATTCAAGTTATCTGTAATATATCCCATCAAAAACATAAATGTGAAATTAAGTTCAATTTTGTCTGATTGTTGACTTCTACGACAAAAGAGAAGTCGCCAAGTTATTAGAGATTTATATATATACTTAGGATAATATATAGAGAATAGATAAGGTAACAGGTTTAGCACTTGCGAAGGCTATAGTATATTTCGTATATGGTAAACCTGAGTGACAAATGGTTCGTACACACGGTGCTGCTCGCCAGTTCTCTTACTTGAACTCGGCTTTGACACGCTCCCGCGTGTCTAGAACAGTAACGTTACATGTTCGTCTGTGTGGTTAGAACAAAGGTTACAAAACGTTTGCCGGGACAGCTAGTTATCAGTATAATATTTAATGTTTTTAAAAGCTGTTGCTTTTAAAAACATTAAATATTATAACTGTTTATATTTTTCCTTAACCCTATATACACGAGATGCTCTTAAAAGTAAAGCTTCATTCTTCTCGCTCCCATGCCATTAGGTCTATTTAATGGTAGGGACGCCTCAGTGCATCTAAGTCGCTGTCCAGTCCCACATTTCAAAGTACATTTATCTTATTTACCTCTCCATTAAAACTTCTGTTTATTTTCATTTAGCGGAATATTTTTACCAAACATCGCGAGCCCTGCCAAGTTACTTTTTCAATACAAAGTTGGACGGGGAGAATTGTTAAGTTTGATCGATTCTCTCAAGTTTTTTACCGCGTGAAATTTTAGATTACCTATTGGGTATATTGAGGATGCTCGGTGGAAGGGCATTTACATATTATTTTTTATGTAACTCACGACATCTTAAGGAAACTGCGTGGCTCGGAGTTGCCTTAAATGTGTATTAACGGAATGTCACGCTCTTACCGTCACCTATAGTCGTAAATTCAAAATATCTCTATTCAGGTAGGTCCATTACAGACTCTTATGATATGTCAAATCTACCGTCAGTTCGAAATGATTTCAAGATGAACTACTGACACGAAACTCAGCTCGTAGTCTTTTCAAATAAATGTTGTACATGTTTACAATATTACAGATGCATTTAAATTCAAATTTGGGAGAATAGAGTGATCACCAGCATGAGTCCAAAAAACGGCAATATTCATAATATTAATACTAGATTTAAAGACAAACTTGCTGTCCCCAAGTATCGTTTAGAAAAAGTCAATAGGTATTTTATGGGAATAGGTATAAAAATTTACAATAAGATACCAAAGGATATATTGTAATTACTCTTAAATAAATTCACAAACATCTGTTAAATCAAATTTACTGAGCAAAGCCTATTACTCACTAAACGGTTACATGAATGACGAGCGTGCATGGCAATAGTTGTTCATGTACGGGATTTTCATTGAATGTTACACATAGAACTACCTATACATTGTAAATAAACTGGCTTTTTAAATAAAAAGTAATTCAACTGAGTTCCTTGCCAGTTCTTCTCAATTGGATCTATATACCGAAAAAATTATACTATAAAGAATTTGTCTAGTGCAGCTTTAGATACATG